ATAATTTAGTTTATGTACACTTATCGACCCAAGTCAACATAATATAAATTACCTGCTACATACGTAATTGATCAAGGTCAATATCAAATGTGCATTTTTCGAGTTTAATATTCGGGATATGTACTTGTAAAAATTGAGGGACTGCAAATTGAAATTTAGTAAATTAAAACCATGCATGTTTCATATATCTTCAAAATACACCACCCTACCATTTCATTATGAGATGATACTTTGCTCCCTTCACCCTGTTCAAAAATTAGCATTAGCATACATTATTTATTTAAAACTGCTAATTTTAAACGGAAGGAGTGGGATAAAAACAAAGGTCCTACTTCTCGAGTGGTCATTTCTCTAACAAAAGTAGGTAACAGGAAACAAAAAGAAAGGATCAAAAAATGGATGATCGAAGATTATGTAGAAGATATAAATAGATTATGATACCATGTGGCAATGTTGTTGACTCCTTTAATTAACTAGGGTTGCCCATAACTTAATAAAGCTAAAGGGCCGACTTATATTATTTGTCACATGCCGTGTAGTAATGTTTGTGTATGGAGCTTAGCTTATGGCGGTCCTACCTTCTTAACCGCAAGCCAATTCTTTGGCCATTTCTCGCATTGTTTGGATTTCAAGATTGCACCAGAACATACAATAGGATGCACTATTTTGTCCACCTCAATAATGTCTATAAATCCTTTTTTTAAAACGCTCTTTGTGGTTTTCATCTGTATATGAATTAAGATAAGAAAAGAGAGTGCGTTAAAGTACGCAGGGTAAATAGAATTAATTTAATTAAGTCAGCAATATAATAGATTTGTTTTGTATTGGAAATGGGGTATAAGTGTAACAGTTCATAAACAGATACTACATGGATTAATGTGCTGGTAAAATTGTAAATCAACGAACCAAAAATGAAAAGTATTGAAGATAAATGTGAAAAAGTTAAGGAACAAAGGTGATATGTATTGACCGTCTCATTTACAGATCATTGTTGTTCTTGTTCTTGAAAGTTGAAATTGCATAAAAATAGTTTGGTAACTACGTACTTCGTATTTTCCTATCTTAATTTTATAGATAATTTGTCTTATTAATTCTTGATGATAATTAAATTAGTACTGTTTCTATTATGTCAATACAGCTCGGCTTGATAATGATCATCATCGTACAATCTATTGTATTTTACTTTTTTCTATTTCATGTACAATTTATTTATTTATGTTTTTTTATTAATCATGTACAATTTAATAATTTCAAATCTATCATAAAATTCAAAAAACTTTGTTTTATACAAAATGTTATTGAATGTAAGCGACAAAGGTCAAATATATGTGATTGTTGGTTACCTGCAATAAGATAATACGCAATATTCACATGGTATAATACTCCAAGAAATTCTCCAGTGACAATAATTAACCAGTACGTACGTAGAGTATGTCGGTACCTCGGGTGGTAATGCAAATAATTGTGCGTAAATTTAAGTTCGTCAACACTAAGCTAAACCACGCGCGTAGGCATGTACCATGAATAGGTATAAATTATAGCATTGTCGATAAAACCCCATTGTAACATCCAAGGCGTGGATGCTGTCCTTAAGAGTAAAAATGACCACCTTGCAGGCTTGCATTGTAAATTAACTCTCTCATGTACTGATTTAGTTAACGTAAATCAAGTCTAACTCTCTCACATACTGGTTCTAAATAGGTTTCAATATGTTAATTAAATTATAAATCCTAGAAAAATATCTTAGAAATTTACATCCCAGCATAATAAGATATCATGCCAATTTTAGAAATGGAAAAATGCAGTACAAATTACAAAATGCAAGGCACGTGGGACCCCATGAAGGTCACGTGAGCAAGAAGTGTCAATTGAAGGAAGGCATGTGATGTGTTGCACAAGACAAGGCAATTCAAAGAAATAGTTGTCCTTTGTCAGTCGTTTTAAGACTACGAAAACAGTGTCCCTTTCCTTAACCTCAACACTAATCTCAACCCACTTCCATATTTATAACTTAATACTAGCTTAATTTTATAATTAAAGCGACCTTCTTTTCTCTTTGTACGTCAATAATCAGTTGTCATTAAATTATTATGTGATTATTTTAAGTTATTATCATGTTCATACCAACAATTAACAATAGTATCGGGAATATTTTGTATGCTGGTGGTTAGTTGTAGGAAATGTACGTACACCGTTAATTATGTTTCAATAATGCAATTTTCTTTAATTTCTTGCTTCCAGGTAGTGTTGCTTTGATTACAAGTATATTCGTCTTGTTCCTTCCTTGACTTGCCTTATTAATACAAGTAGTAATAATGTAGTTTTTGATTTTATAGATGTGAATTAAAAAGAGAGAAAATAATGTAATATGAGTACGTACTTTATAAAATAAGAATTGTATATTATATGAAATTGATCTAACAACTAGCTATACTCCAACCGCGTGGCTTGCTGTAATATACGTACTTTTATTTTTTTTATTGCTGACATACAATGTTTTGTGACATGAAACATTAGGTTAATTTATTGATGATGTGATGGTTGAATTATTGAAATTTAAGGCAAACAATGAAACACATACACACACTAACTTGATCATATAATAGATCATCTCAAACTTGATGTGCAAGTAAAAGCATCACTTAATCAACCTTCAATCATATTTTCATGATTAAAAGACAAGTTCATCAATGTTCAATCATATAATTATTGCACCTTGTATGACTATTTAATTGATTAAAAAGATAGTATTATCTCTTAGTGTGATACGTGCAGGCCAAAGTTACAATAATATACGGTCACAATACAGATGTAACTATTCCTAATGCTATCGTTCAATCATGTATAAAATCCTCAACTACCTCTGAACATAGAATCACAAAAGTAGCATATATTCTTATCATTATCTTGTGAATTGAACGAAAGAATATTAGTCAAATGTTTAGTGTGCATGCAACAACTAACCAACTAACGTAGGAAGAACACTAAATTTATGAATAATTTTACATCTTTCTAAATCGTATCAAAAACCCTTTTTTACAAGATCATACTAATATTCAAGTTTCAACGAAAGAACAAATTGTTTAAATTAGGGGGTTTGAATCTTAGCTACTTCCAAATTATATATTGAACATTTTGCTATTTTAGTATGTTTTGGTGAGGACACGTGGACATGAAATTAGCAATTCACGATTTCCCACACCAAATCAGCCCACTAGCTAGGGAATTTCGTTGCTAGTCGTTATAATTAAAACGACCGACAATTAGTCACAAGCATTAGACTATATATTATACGATTAGAAACATTAATTATGATATTAAGATAATTGCTTCACTTGATAAATTAGCTTATCCACTTAATAATCTGCCGCCAATCACATAATTACTTGTAGGTTTGTAACTTCCCACTCAGGTGTACGATGTTTCTAAGCAAGCGCGTTATGTTCTCACTCTTCTCAGTTGTTCATATTTTGGAATCTTCATAATCATCATATTTTAGTATGTGAATCCACTTGAGTTTAGATTTTTGAATTTTGGTTGTTATCGTTTTACAAAGATTATATCAGAGTATAATAAATTTGGTGAGTATTGAAGATAATTAAAAAAATTAAAGACACTTCATTCTACTTTAAAATATCGATTAAAAATAATAACATTGTTACAATTGGCCAAAGTACTTAATCTTGAATTAGAAATGATTATAATATAAATATGTATCTCTATTCATTTTCGTAAAAATCAATCGAAATTTGAATAAGCAATTACCCTTTTCCCTAACAATTCTTTAGGATTTTCCTTAAAACTAGTCTCCAACAAAAAATGACATAAATGCAAATTGATTATTGGTTTCATACCTTCATGCACATACATGTTACTCCCTCTGTCCCTATTTTTTATCTCATTTGATTTTACGGTCTTTAAAACTCGTGTTAAAATGTATATAGCTTTATTTTCATACGCGTAAAAATTATAAGAACTTGATATTAATAAAATATATTATGAGACAAATCTAACAAAATCCCACATGACTACATTATCTCTTATTGATTAATGAAATAGTCAAAGTTATTAAAATTTGACCTATTTATTTGCAATGGGGCAAAAAAATGAGGACAAAGGAAGTACATATTAAGCTTACCGACGTGACAAGGTAGAGATGAGTAAATAAATAATCACGTAAAACATCTTAGGTATTAATCCTCCGTTAATGGCTTGTCATGTTTCAGTGTGACCAGATAATGCAAGTATGTGAGTAACATGCTCTATCAGTTACATTTGTACTTCCAAATAATGCAAATTAAAATTAGATTGTTGCCCTTGACAAATTAAATTTACCTGACAATTCCAACCTGCTTGCATTGGATTGGAAAATGGAAGGAAAGAAATGGGAACATTCTAAGAAAACTACTCTTTCAATTCCATTTGGACTTATGCAATCTAATTTTTGTTGGTTTTATTTAAAGTTTCTACTATCATTGGAGTTACATCTATGCTCGCTTTTACATGAAATTGTTGAGAAAATTATAGGAATGAGGCCCCTTTAAGAACATTAATTAAATCTCATTACTTGAATTAAATTTCAGTTTTATTGTAATAGATATTTGATCATTAAGGGGTAGGGCGGGTATTATTACGGCCGTATGGGCAACGTGGCACAAAGAGTAAAATATTTTAATTAATAGAGTGAAATAAGTTTCAGATAGTACAATAGATTGTATTCTAATAAAATTGAATTTTGCCTATTGTAGACTTTTACTCCATTATAAGTGATTGTGAATAGAAAATTCTAAAAGGAATTAAGAGGTATAAACGTGGATCGTATCTAGTTCTTTCAAATTTAATTTGCTTATTGAGATAATCACCGTCAAAACAAGAGAAAAACTTGAGAAGATATACAAGTAAATAATGTGGTCCATAAACAATTGAGGTGCATCCGTTTAAAAAAAAAAAAAAAAAAAGAATAAATAAATAAATAAAATAAAATAAAATATTGGAGTGCATCCACATCACTAAGTGGGCCAGGTGAAAAAAAACCGAGTACCAGTGAATCTCATCAACTTCAGCCTTGTTTACTCTTCCCTTTCTTTCCTTTTTCCTTTTCATTGGTGCGATCCTCTGTCTCTGACTATACCTTTGACATTTCTCATTCTATTTATTTATTACTCCAAATCACTAATTAATTAATAAATATTCCTTTAAACTTAATTAAAATAAATTAAGTCACAAACAAAATAATGAGACATTTGAAATAGGGCGGTGATGCCCCGAAATGAGTCGGTCCAACACTATTACACCAATCTTCTCCTTACTCTATATATACCCCAAATATTAACTACTCAATCCTTTACAATTAAGATTCCTCCCTTCACTTCTCCATACATTTTCTTCCCTTTATTCTCTCCTTCATTTGTTATTATTATCGTTCTACATTATACTCTTATATAAAAGTCTCATTTCATTTCATTCTATCGCGTTCTTGAATTGAATTGAATTTCATTTCATTAACATTTACGTACGATAATATTAATTCATTATAACATACATGATGGATTCATTCAAGTTGTACACAATAGTGGTGGTAATTGTGATGAGTGGTGAGTATGTGTCGGGTACCACGTTTACATTTGTAAACAAATGTGATTATACTGTTTGGCCGGGGATACTAGCAGGAGCTAGTAGCCCCAAGTTAGATAGTACGGGGTTCGAGCTCCAGAACGGTGGGACTCGAACCTTTCAGGCTCCATCGGGGTGGTCAGGTCGGTTTTGGGGCCGGACTAACTGTAACTTCAATGGCGCAGGTCAAGGCACCTGCGCCACAGGAGACTGCGGGTCCGGAACCATAGAGTGTAATGGCAGCGGGGCTACACCGCCCGCCACCCTAGCGGAATTCACCCTAAACGGAAGCGGCGGGCAGGACTTTTACGACGTAAGCCTAGTCGACGGCTACAACCTCCCTATGATCGTGGAATCAAACGGAGGCTCAGGCGGGTGTCAAACAACGGGGTGTTTAGTGGACCTAAACAAGCGGTGCCCGAACGAGCTTATGGCGGAAGGTGGCGGCGCGTGTAAGAGTGCGTGTGAGGCGTTCGGAACACCGGAATATTGTTGTAGCGGGGAGTTTGGAACGCCTGACAAGTGTAAACCATCAATGTATTCAGAGGCATTTAAAAGCGCGTGTCCAAGAGCATATAGTTACGCATATGATGATGCAAGTAGCACGTTCACTTGCAGTGGTGGTGATTATACCATCACCTTCTGTCCCTCTTCTCCAAGGTACCGCCTCCATCTCTCTTGTATTATTATAACGACTCATTTGGTAAGCAATAATAAATCGCGAAACTGTAATTTAGTCGTGATAGAATTCGATCTCTCAAATAAAATTTGTCCTTAAAAGAAAGATAAATGGTGGAACATGTTTAATCAATCTTAACACACAAAGGTTCTTTTTAGTTGTTGGATTACAAAAAAAAAGTTACCGTTTGTTATTTTTTTTTCTAAAATATCTTATTGGGCTAAATTTAGTTATACACTGTTGTTTGGAGTAATATATATATATTTTTTTTTTTACATATTTATTATTTTTATTTTGAGGTGCACAAAAAATTATTACAAGGACTACTGAGCTGATAAAATTGCAATTTTTTGTATTGATGCAGTCAAAAATCGTCAATGGGCACTCCAACAAGTAACATGGGAGCAACAGGGGGACCCGGGACCGAGGCTGGACCTGTGGCCGGGTCCGTTACTAGTTCGGGCACGGACACGGATACGGGTACGGGTACAAATACGGGAACGGGTTCATTGATGGCGGATGGGTCATGGTTTGCCGGCTTAGCCTCTGGAGACTCTTCAAATACAAGACATCCTAACTTTGGATTACAATTAGCATTGCTATTCATTGTCATCACATCTTTGGCCACCTCTCTATTTAACTTGTAGTTTCTCTCAAGAAAGAGAGAAAAGGTTGAGGAGATCATCTAATAGTTAGTTCATTCAAACGCCTTCGACACGGAAATATTATTCTTTTAATATTTGGGCGAATGACAACACGCTAACTTAGTTAGTAAAGTCTTCGAAAAATATATGGGGTTCAATTTCATTTGGGATTTCTCCCATACTCTTTTTGATTCATTGAGAAATGACAAAATTAGCAAGATGATGGTATAATCGACACAAGGTAGATTTCCCGTGACACACTACTACAAAAATGGCCAAAGAGAACGATTAGAGCTGCGGTGATTTTAGCTAATAGACGGAGATGCCACTACATATTTAAATTTTTTTTTAGGGTATGTAGTTGTTAAATATTTAGGCTATCATTGTAAAAAGTTTAATTTGTTTCTTTTTTTTTTTTTTTTATCTCATTTGAGAAATTTTTAGTAGATCCCATTTTACAGCCTATTGATTCGTCCAAGATGAGATGCTTTAGGAGGAAGAAAAGTGAGGATGTTAAAAGAAAAGATAGATCCATTTTGAGATATGTACGATTGCTCCCCATTGTTTGTTTTTAACTTATGAAAAGTGTAGTTGAACAATAATATAAAGGATGTTGATCCTTTTCTCAATGTCAATTTGATTTTTATAGCTATCTTTAGTGTAAATGGAAAATCGAACTTTGTAATATTCATAATCTTTAATCGTGTCACCCTTTTACCATTCATTATGAAGTTCGCAATATGTAGGTATAGCTAATTTCAATTTGTAGTAACGAAAAGATCTAGATATACTATTTTTGTTCAAAAATATGTACTCCGTAATATTTATCGTGAAGATTATGTACTCTGTAGTATTTATTGTGAATATAATTTGTAACCAATAATCCGAATAGAATACTTAAACCCTCCCCAAAGGGAGGCAAAGCTACTAACTTGGCGGTGAGGATCTAAGTCTTAAGGTGTAGCACTTGACCAGCTATGGGGACAAAATGAAAAATGAGGTTGGAAATCCTTGGGGTCCTTACAATACGTTATACGTAGTACTCCGTACTTTATAGTAATCACCCAAATAATGGGAGTCAAGACATACAGAATCATATTAGCAATTATACAGAATCATATTAGCAATTAGAAATACAGATGTTTATAAAGGTTAGTGTATTGCTAGAAATATAAAAGAAAGCAAGGAGAGAATAACAATAATGAGGAAAGATCAGATACCCAAAAAAATTAAACAAAATTTAAATAAAGATGAAAAAGAAAGGATATTACAGTTATCTATGGAATCCTCACTTGTCTATAATTCGACCCGGACAATTTCGGGCTGCTCCGTGATAACAACCACAGTAACAAAACTGACTATTATATTGTTTGTTAAACATGTAGTGTACAATAAACCCGGTGTATACAAGTTATTGCTCACAAAATGGGAAAGGGGAGAGGGGAAAGGAAAGAAATTGACCATTATATGAAGTACAACTCGTCGACTCAACAGTCTGCAAAACTAAAGGTTGAGGTATTCTTCGTATCATCATCTGCAAATGCAAGATCTTTACATTACTGTATACGCTAGCTTAAGTTGCTATCAATTTCATCTCTTTTTCAAAGAATCCAAATCTAAAAATTGATTAATAATGCTCCAATCATAAAGATTGAAGGGAAGGGTACACGCAAAAATATCTTTTGCTAATTTCCAATGAGCAATACTCTCTAGAAGCAGACAGCTCTAATCTGCTGGAAAGTCTTCAAGTCCCCCGATTAACCAACTAAAATTGTTCCAATAAACTTCAAGTGCAAGTCATCTATTACCTGTCAAAACAGCTGAAATGAGCACAGCCCAGAAAACTTCTTTTTTTTTTTTTTTTTTTTTTTCGCGTGCTACAAAAAGCATCATTTCCTTTCCACTACCAACGGTGCACAACCATAAGATTGTCAAGAAAACATTAACATTATAGAAATCATATAAATGATGTAATGTAATGATCTTAATTCATTCAGCACATACACATACACATACTTCTATCGTTTTCACCAGTAACTGTGAACTGCTATTACTAATTTTGGCTTTTATAGGCTGGCTTGAACTTTATTCTCTTTATAATCCTCAATAAAAGCTCCTGCATCTTTATTTTCTTTTTAAAAAATATATATATATATCAGGTTTAGTGGAATCCTCAAAAATGCCTCACATTTTGGAATTGAAATTGAAATTAGTGGTACTAAGTACTAACAACTTAATGCGTCCAAAACAAAGAACTAGATTTATAACTACGAGTAGCTTAATTGATTAAAGTCTTTAAGTGCATCCATTTCAACTCAAATTTAATTAGTGATTTTTTACAGGGAAAGGTTAGTTTTATCAGATGTCTCCGAACAGACTCCGAGGAAAATAATTGAAAAGCACACCAGCACTCAATACAACCCGGCTGCTATCTGGGATTATTAAGGGTCAACAGGAAAAGATACACAAATAATGACTGGTACTGAAGGATGCATGCATAAACAATAGTTTAGTCTGATTAACAAAAATATAGGTTCTATAGCTGTCTTGATGAATGATTAAAAAGCTATAGGAGTAAAAAGAGTCAAAAAGGTAACCTATCTTCACTAAAAGAGTGGGGAAAACATTAAACAAAAAGTGGAAATAGAAACAAATGACTCCAAATTGCTTCCAAAGCTTCCATAGAAAGATGCTCATCCAGCTAAACTGAACGGTTCTTTACCTACTTGAAATGAATGCAGACACCACCAAGACTTAGAGCTAAAAAGAGGGAATCAAATGACTAACTTTTCCTATGAAGATAAAGAGATAGAAGAGATTCTCTCTTTCTATTTTATTTTTTTTTATCTTTATTTTGGCTTCTTAATTAAAGAAAACTATCACAGGTTAACAAGTAATAAATTCTAAATAAAAGCGGAAAATCGTAGCAACAGTAGAAATGAATCATAGGGACCAGGTCAGGTGGGTTTAGAATAGGATTTTTTGGGAAATTAAAGAAAATCCCTAAGATTATAACTCGTGCAGCATGATGCCACTTGAATTCTTTTTTTGCTATTCTTCTAACATTATATCTAGTCGAGGATCACTTTTTCTTAATGGACGGACATATGCAAAGGCTTCTAGTGTGCAAAATTAAATGTTAAAGACAAGGAATATTCCAGGAAGTCAAAAGTTTTCAGGATACCACAATATTTAAATGGAAAGACAGATGAAAAACTAATGATTGCTCTCCTAACCTATTGGCAAACTTTTAGAATGGTGTTCAAGGACAGCCTTGATTAATAATGGTGTATGGCATATAATGGGAGATGCTTAAGGACCACAGCTAAATAGACATACTACTAACATTAAATTTCTAGAGCTCTCTCACAAATGGGACGGCTTACTTTAACAAGGATCACTTACTAACAATACGGCTGCAAAATCCAAGTTCCAAGGTAAAGAGGATTACTGATATCACTATAATATTAATGAAGCAGAACATTCTGAAGTGTGAAAAAAACAAAGAGCACAGACAATTTGATCTAATAAAGTTTAAGACTTCACCGTGAAATTTTGAGCAACAAGGGGTAGCAGTGATTTGCCTCATAATTGGGCCAGGATTGATCACCCTTCATAAGTTCCTGATGACGCATCCAGACCCTATCATCATATTTATCTGACATGCTGTAGCGCAAGCCACCCTTCGTTATCTCCTCCAGAAATTTGTCCAATGAGTCACCCCTTTTGGGACTGAAGAAAATAGCTTCAGAGAAACATGAATCTTTCAACAACAATTTCACAGTTCGAACTAAGCCTTTATGGAATTTCTTGAAAAATGTGCTGTCAAGACAACAAGATATACATAAATAAATTTAACCGATTCGAAAGATTACCCTTGTATACTTGCAAATGTAAAGCATAAATTATGGTAGCATGTCAAGATTGTTTTTAAATGGTGACGAAGAGCACCTATATAGGAAAATTTTACCAGTTGTATAAGAACCCATTTGAAAAATAATCACAGCCTCTGTTTCACATTATTTGGAAACATATTTCTAGTAAAATGATAAAGATTAAAAAAATAAATACATCCAGGGTATCAATCAAATCACGTGGCTTTCCTTGTAACAAAAAAGAAACCATGCTTGAACTGCAAAATGTCATTCATGGACAGACTCCAACTTTGCAAGAGAATAATATGCACTATCCCAAAAAATGATGTGGAATATTATCCAATTCTATCCACCTATATTGTGACAGACCCATCAGAAGACAAAAATTACATACCAGTCACTTGCAATCACGATGTCAAATTTATGGGATAATGTTTCAACCTCATCTTGATTCCAGTGCAATAATTTGGGAGTCACATTTGTACTCCCAAAAGCTTCAGGATTGGCAGCTATGCTTCGCTGAATATCTGCTTGTTAAGACATCGAGGTTTAAAGATACTCAACAGAACCTTAGGTAGACATGGCATTGGATTCATAAAAGCATTAAATCATCTTCTGACAACAACAACAAAAAAAAAAAAAAAAAAAAAAAAAAAAAAAAAAAAAGGTCACCCTAAACAGAGCACACAGCAGTAGTAAATCAGTTTGAGAATCAGTAGTAGCAGATAATATGCTAAGATGATCAGGTTTCCTCGTGAATCTATCCTACTAATGAGCAAGCTAGCTAGATGTTGTTTGTTTAAAGCAAAAACCAAAACTGAGTTAAGAAAATATTGAAATGCAATGAACTGATGTAGAGGGGCATATTAGGTAGTGCAATACAATTCGGTTAGTAGTGCTTTGAGGAGGAAGATAAGGGAGTTAGAAGAGTAATACTGCAAAAAAGAGATAATTAGGATATTAGCTGGTGAAATATTGATTTGAGCAAATTTGGGTAAGCTTAGTAAGGTAATTAAGGGGAGAATACACCACGCACAAGAGGAATGTTCATTCATATTTGCTGTAATTCAGTTCATTAATCAAAAGTATCTTCTACTTCCCTAATTTCTGTCATTAATGATGTCTAAGCTTGCTAAATCATAGCATGAAGCTTGTCAGAAGAGCTCCACATAGGTTACTAATTAGTAATTACAACCTCCAAGTCATTAGAAACCTACAATTAGTTTAAAGTCAAAATAGTCATCAAAAATAATGAAAACATAGAAGGATCAATATAGAACCTACATAAACACCTCCTGACTAGAAAGTAACAGTGGATGCCCATGGGCCATGAATAAGTTCATTAGAAGGATACAATCAATTACTTGTGGATTTCCATCTGATATCACAACTTCAGATGCCTCAGAGGCAGCAGCAATAACTAGACCTGCTAAACCATATCCTGCGCCTAACTCAATAACTGATTTTGATCTGAAAAGAATAAAGACCAATTACATAATCTACTGCATGATTACGGGGTTTAGAACAAGTTTAGCTGCCATTATAAAGCAAATTCGGCAGCATAGTTTCTGCAGAACAGTATATAGGAGAGGAAGGAAGAAATTAGATACCTGAACATGTCTGCATGAGACAAGCAAAAATATGAAAGAACTTCCTCTGAAGGCCATGGACCTGAACACAAAATGGGCAAGAATGTAAATACAACTATAACATGGATAATAAATAATCAACTTAAAAAACAATAGTATTAAACATTTAAGTACAGGCAAACATATGATAATCTGTAAAATGTAAATTAAACAATGCCATGCAATTACAAGTTTACAACTAGAGAAATAACTATGAAAAATGCAAGTTTCATAGATACAAGCTGAACAAGAATCGGATACACATAACTTGAACAAATTCCACCAGGTATCTGGTTAAGATTTTCAATATTCCAGCTCTTTATTACAATAGAGAGCACTGGCATTTTCTTCAAGGAAATAGAAATTTATCAGAAGATATTCACACAATCCACAAGTTGCATGGAAGTCCTAGATAAGTTACAGAGTCATAGGGACGTTACTTATGCAAGTCAGTTCCAACTTCCAAATTTACAACAATCCTAACCATAATGAATAATAAGAAGGTTTATTCACCATCTCATCCTGGAGGTTTTTTTATACGACAAAATGCCTCATTATACTCGGATGAAACTTTAACCAGATCAAAGCTTTCTTTTTACTATCAAAACTTCAAACATATAAGATAGGTACAAACAGGGGTCCACCTCATCATGCATGACATATGCAATTAGAGCAACACCTAGCCTCGGACAAACAATAGCTAGTTGTAAAAAGCAAACACAATTAAGCAAAGAATGAACAGGACATTAATAATTATGATGACTTACAAACAACACCAGTGTTATCAATGTCATACTTGTTGCAGATCTCAAAATCACTGATACTAGCACAATTGTCCCTCCTTTGACTGTCAAATCGAAACTAACATTTATCAAGCTCATACAGCACAAAGTTTGCATACGGAATGCAATGCCTTCATCATACAAAGAGCACAAACAGACAACAGCTCTAAGAGTAAAATGATACTTCATATGATATAGTCATTTAGCCTCATGAGTCATGCCTAACGAGCAACTGCTAGCTAACAAAGCACCTGCTATTTTGTGTCATTAATTCTGCTAAGTAGCAAATGAATCAATGCATTTTCAAGGTCATCTCAGCAAAATTATAAGAATTTACATAAAGGGGTAAGGTTCTGCAACAGCTTATGCATTGACATACTTTTCCATCATAACAAAACAACGAGTTCGTGGTACACATTGGCACAAAGAAACACAATTTGCAGCCTAATTTTGTTATTCGTCCAAAAAGTCTCTCATTGTACAAATTCACACAAAACAATTCGTACGTTTCGGGTAGCATTTTGTAGGGCATTAGCGAATTCGGAAACAAACATGATTTCTTCACATCCAAATGTTTCATCAACATTACATAAATGTTTTTTCATCAATAAACACATAACCCCAAATCATTTCAACATAATAGCATCAAACAGAATAAAGGGTACTAAGATACTTAAATACAGTAAAAATTGAAAGTGGGAAAAATTAGAAACTCACAAAAGAAAGAGATTAGGATCAATATTTTTTGAAGTGGGCAAAGAGTAACAATAGCAAGCATCCATTGTTAAACCCTCAACCTCAAAATTATCGCTGGAAATTGGGTGAAGATGACATGGGATCAAATCAAAACTTTGATTTCCTTTCCCTTTTCTCGAAATGCGATTAATTATTTCTTGTGATTCAGATTTTTCGTCTGCAAATTTTGAATAAAAATTAGCACAAATTGAATAAAATTACAGCTATTAAAAGCAGAAATTATGCGATAGAGAATAGTACCAGATTGAGAACGACAAAGAAGGGCATTGCGAAGAATTTTCCATCTGAGAGTGGAAGGTTTGGGAACTTGATCATTGCATTCTTCCATTGTTCTAGATTTCTATTTTCTCTCTCCTCTGTTTCTTAGAGCAGTTTTTTATTTTTATTTTTATTTTTTAAACCTCAAAATTATTATTATTTTTTAAAAAAAAAAAACTCAAAATTACTTGGGGATGTTGTTGTAAACAAATTTACTGAATTAAAATTTTGATTGATCTTTCAAAAAAAAAAAGAGGGGGGGGGGGGAATACAAATTTATGTTGATTATGTGTTTTTGGTTATCAGTTTATCATGAATTTGACCTTTGATGTATGTATGTAAATCAACAATTAGGGTTTAATTTGAATTTGTGAGATTATACACACAGGACTGCATGAGCATGATGTGTGTCATGGCGGTCATGCTATGAAAATAGAATCTAATTTGGTTTTACATGGAAATTTATGGAAAGAAGGTAAAAATTGGAGAGTTAAGAATTGAAATGCTAATTATACCAGCAGATTACCAGAGTCTAATAATGGATTAATGTGGAGTCATACTTGTATAACAGATGTAAGTTTGTACAAATGTGATTAAATTGTGGGTTTGAAAAAAAAAAAAACTTTGTACTAGGTATTATTTATGCCTCTAGACTAATTTCCATAACTAAGAAAATGTCAATATATTCAATACAATTTCAAAGATATGAATTATATTTGGGGACACTCCATCAAACTTGCTCAATTACTAATAGGAGTAACAAAATCAATTTGCAGGACTTTCCTCAATCAAAATTCAAAACCAGTATCTAGCACCAACAAAACACAAACCAATACGTACATTTCTCGATGAGTGGCCTCTCAGCCCACAATTTATTACTTGAGAGTATACCTTCAATGCGAAGATATTACATGTTTCTTGTTTCTCATACATGTAATATCTTGATGGAGGAAAATGCAAGAAAATATTTTGTATGAACATACAGACGGTTGTATCCAACTATCCATCCAAAACATCTAAAGCACAGCAAAGCTAAGCTTGATGCCTGGTAACTTCATCAGCATTTCAATATCCCCTGCATCGTTCTGACCAAGCTGTACTAGCTAGCAGCTATACCCACACATTTGATCAAAGTTGTTGACGGTGCCAAATACATAAATCACCGATCTCAAGAAGGCCCATGAGCAAACTGACATCTGGTATACAGACTGATTCATCGGGCGCTTTCTTTTGATTTGGAGGGGTATGACTCAGATGAGGTAAGGACTAATATCTGAGATTACATCCTAGAGGAGAGCCAACACACAACTCTTCCTTTCAAGCGAGAGAAACCGCAATGTGATCCTTGCTCATGAAATCTGTGACCAGGTTAACTTATTCTGGAACAATGATTGATTCCGACTGTAAAAGTAGGAGATATATTACAGCATCACTGTTAATATCTCCCATTTCCCAGGGGATTTTCCACATTCTTTTGATGACGTCAATCACATGTCTATGACTGTCTTAACCCTCAGGATTTACCTTCAGGAACCACCAGTCACAAGGGCAACTTAGTGAATTTGGCAACAAATAACCCGCTAGTTTGGGATGTTACAGGATCAAATCTCAACGTCTTAGGTATCCGACCAATCTTGCATGGCCAAGTGTTAAAATCAACTATTTCTTGCAGCTCTGCAAAGATAACAAAGCTTTGCATTTACATGCATTTCAAAGAACCGAAAGTATACTGACATTAACGCACAGCATTAATGGACTTTTCCGTACATGCCAAACAAAAGGTTTGTGCAAATGACAGTTTGGAGTAACTTGGAGAAATGTTTCTTTCTCTTTTACTCAGTAATCTCTCAAATCCTTTAAAAAAACAAATATGACTACATGGCACCCTTGCCTGCCTGGCGCTCTCAAGCATGCATGCATTACAAGAATGTACAACTATATGAATGGCAGAAACTAGCAATACATACTCACCAGCTGATGAATTATCCAACAGGAACCTCTCAATCACTTCTTCATTTTGGGCAACTGTCAAGCTACACCGCAAGAAAAAAGAATCAAATACAGTCGTACAGATGCACAATTAGCCTTTTTATAGTCCTAAGGAATATCAATCAAAAGCATGCTGGACTAAGATACCTGCAAGTGCTGTAGATAAGTGAGCCCCCAGCTTTCAGCAATCGAAAACCATTACTCAGAAGTCGAAACTGGGAATAGAGAAAAGGCCCAAAAGGGAGACGTTAAAGATTAAACAAAGGATGGTAGCAATAGGCCTCGACAAAATAAATCCAGGCAACAAATAACGTATAGGCGTATAGGGTATAGCTAAACATATTTTAAAAATAAAGAAAAAAAAAAAAGACAAGAAAGAAAACTTCCATCATTCTCAGCTACAATAACTGCTGTCAGCAAATTAAGGGAGTAACTAAAAAGGGCAGAACAAGCTATGAAGTACAAGACATGGATTGAGTACAATTTTATTTCAATACAACATAGCATCAAACTAATCCGAGACGGATAGATGCTAGTGTTTTCTACTTCATAAAACAGGATTCAAATCTTCACTTTATGCATCCTAGCCAATAACTAATAAGATCATCAGAGGCAATCTGTGAATCCACTGACAAGAGGAGAGGCACGAGACAGGAAGGAAAAATAATAATAATCCGCCAAAATTCTATTATAATCGTATATAGCACCATAATCAAGGGATATCAATAAAACTTTAGCTAACCCCTACCAATTCCCAACCTCAATAACCAAAATCAAGACCACTCAAAATTCAGGGCAGGAATACAAAATTTCTCTCCATGAAGGAGTTTACTCTGGAACAAGGCCCAGATCCACTATTACCAAATCTTTAGCAGGTGAGCAACTGGGCGTAGTGGGACTTGGGCCTGGGGTTCAAGCATTATCTACTGCTCTCATGCAAGATTCTCCAAAATATTGATTTGAATCTGAATTTCATAGGAAGCTCTTTTTTAAGAGTCATGATGGCCAAATCAACTTTTTTACAAAATTTAAAAACCTAAAGATATATTTTTTGCCCCGAGTCCTGGCTATAATAAAACGACAGACATGAACACTTCATCAAACAAACTACAAAATATCAAATAGAGGTATATGACTGTCTGAGAATCTAATGCAATTATATTGAGCACAATAACCAGCATATTTGATACACACAACTTTCAATAAGCTGTCATCCAAAAATATCAAACTGCAAATAATAGCATATAAATTGTATGGTGATTACTTGGAGATTTGTAAGGTCATCGGTTCTCTCTGCATCCAGCACACGGCGTTGAAGTGTTTGCCAGCCCCAATTTTCAAATTTCTGAACATGCCTAATTGATCCATCATGAGTGCATTCAGCATCTACTAGGACCTGGTATCGTAGAATTAAAACATTTAAAGCATGAAGAACCAGTACAGCCAAGAACCAAGAAGATTATGAAAACGTTAATAATAAAATAAGGAGAGCTAACAGTGGCTTCACATGCATCTGGGAAATATGCAAATCCAAAAGACCAAACACATAAGAATCAAGATGATATCAAACATGTAAGCAAAATCAAGGCATGGGCAAAAACAGGAGATTTTGACGGTGTTGAACACAAACAACGGAAATCCAGAAGAAAAATAACTGCATGACATCTAAAAAATAAGCAAAAATCAAGACATACGACATAGAGATTGAATAGCGTATCTGTGCACACACACACACACACACACAAAACCTCAAGAATAGATATCTGTTCTCTGATGTTGGTAACACTTCCTTAAAACAAAAGAAGAGGAGTCAAAGTTGAAATTGTTTCAAATGGGCAAGTTTCCAGCTCAGGGGTTCCAGCAGATAAAATTTCATATGAACTATTCTTCATCTCTAATTTGCTACTCCCTCTAATCCTTTAACTTCTCCCCATTTCATTCTAACACGTTTGTCAATGTACATTATAAATCGTCAATATCTCTAATTACATGTTAGCAAAAAATTATAAAAGTCTCATATCTAGAAGTACTCATCGAGACAAATCAAACAAGACCCCACTTGACCATTTTTTCCTTATATATTGGAAAGAATTTAGAAAATTAATAGTGTCTAGATTCCAAATGGGAAGAACATTTAGGATAGGAGTATGTAGTAGTAGGCCAGTCAATACTTAGTACTCTTAGCAATTGATCATCCAAATTGTACGGTATGGCTGTATTACTTGTATATATCTGCTCCCCTACCCCATCCAAGGAGGAAGCCTCATTAGAAACATAGGAATTGCATAATGATATGGTACAAAATGACATCAAAACCAAAAAATGACAGTTTAATTTATAAAGCAACAGAGGAGACCGAGCCAAATATATTAGGAACATATGGACACAGACAGGGGAGAAGGAAAGCTAAATGAGTGGCATTGTGATCACTATTGGTCTCTAGGCATTAAGGAAATTCTTGAATCCTATATTATTAAGCTGAACACTCACTGAGAAAGAAACCATGAATAAGGCAAATACAATCTGTAGACCTGACCAATGATACAGATAAAAAGATATCCCAGCCAGAATTATTTTTATGGTAACAATAAACTATGATCCAATCAAAACAGTTCCTAACATGTCTTGACAACTACAGTAGATCATAGTTTTAAATACTAATAACTAATAAGAACATTCATCAAAGTTCAATGGGAAAAATAAAGCACACCCAAAACAAAAACACTTGAAATAAACTTTAACCACAACGGTGATGTAATCACATTTTACCAGCAATGAGATTAGCAAAAAGAATTAAAAAGCTTACACAGAACATTTATCAGCAGTTAAAAATGCCAGACAAACACAAATGGGACTCGGACAGAGACAAGACAATAAAAATACCTTGTCATAACCGCAAGCATAAAGCTCTTCATCATTTACAGTCTGGTATAATTCATCTCTTGTACAGCCAATGACTCCTGAATGCTTCCCATAGAATATAAGTTCTGGTTCTAAGATCTGTAATGGGCTAACTTCCCTTGCTTTTGCTGCACGTTTCCTTTCCTTCCATGGCCGCTTAGAAGTCCACTCCTTAAATACATCTATTTTCTTTTCCAAAGTAGAACCATTAGCTGAGTACATGAGAAAGAGCTAATTCAGACACAACTTCCACTAGTAATACCAACTAAACAAGGAATGCAAGCACCATATTCCTACACTTACATAATTTAGAAGCAGCAGAATCTCGGAAGGGAATCAAAGAGAATGATGTGCCATCAGCAACTAAGAGCCGACAACGATCACCCAGAGCATATTTCTGCACCATAGTTCTGCAAGCTGCCAGACGATGTCTAGCAACATCAACACCAGTAGCAGAACCAGAATCACCAAGAATATCTAATATCATACAAAGTTTTGCACCTGCCAACAAAAGTCATATAAAGGCAGGTTTGAGCAATTACTCCTCAGGACTCTGACAGATGTACGATAAACATGTATCTCTCAGATTATGATACTATCAGATGGAGAAATATCAAATAGTGGCTTCTTAAGGTATCAACAACTTTGAATGCCAATATTTCCCTCTCTAACATACACCGAAGTACAAAATAAGATTCAAGAAATTGTAATTCCAAATTCATCAAAGAAATTAACCAAGACCATCCAAGTTACTCTAGCATGATATAGTTATAAACAATACTGATAATTTGACACAAACAAAAACAAGTGCTTTCAAATAAATACTAAACCTTACATCACAAACCTACCCAAAAGTTTCTCTAGAACTCTAGAAGGATGAAGCAGTTTATGTTACTAATACAATATTATCTCCTATCTTAGATAAAACTGTAAATAATTGATACTTATATTAGAAGCAGAACATTTTTATGGCTATGGTGCTTCTAGACGATAAGCCATTGTCTGCTAGCAACTGGAAACAATACATGAAAAGATACACTATTGTAATTGTGAAGGGAAAATGCAAGTACCTGGAGCAGCACAAAGATCAAGAACATGGTCTCCAGGAGCTATGTTCAAAGCCTGGACAGCAGCCCCTGAAGCAGCATCGATTCCATAAACCTTAAATACAAACAAAAGCATGTTTTCAAACGCTTGTACAAGCAGCCAATAAAGGACGATAGAAGTTATAGAGCCTCACATTGAACATAGATAAACAAGTAAGACAGCAAAATAGCCAAATCAAAAATTAAGGACAATCTGGTGCTGTGATGAAAAGAGAGAAGAATACCAGAAAATTTATTGCAGTAGCAATAATACTTGTACAAAGTACTTCCTCCATTTTGAAAAAAAAAAATGTACAATTTTTGGGAAGTTGTCTATTAAGTGCATGCTTTATTCACCTTTTGCTTGTGTTCACACACAAAATATCCTAATTATCCTTGTTCACATGTGATAACAAGTTAACAACCATTACTACCCCACCTCTTCTCTCTCTCATCTGCTTGTATCATCACACGGGCAAATTTGACATTCTCCACCTATTACTCTTTTTTCTAAAATCTTGTGCCAATACCAAATGGTGCGATTTTAAAGAAACGGAGGAAGTATAATCTAGTGCATTAAAGGCTGGTTATATGAAACACGGTGTGCAAATGTGCAATATGTGGAACAAGAAAGTAAATGTCTTTATAGAATAGAAGAGAGGAGGGGGACGACCTAAACATAGTCACTTACCGTCTACACTCTACAGAATTCAAACCATCTCATATTCACTTGCCAATGCCATTAATTGATTGCCAGTTAAAATTTTCTCAAAACCTTGATAATTGTCATAAACAAAAGTGAGATTTATATACATTTCTTCCTCACTCTCACCTACCCACAGAAGCACAACAAGTTTCCGCTTAAGCTTTACACTGTTAATGCCCTGGTTTTTACTCATCCAGCAAATTTACACAGCCATTCTTCCTTTGGTGGATAAGATATACTTCATACAAATTTGTTTAATGAATATAATATCATGACTCATGAGAAGCAACTAGTAAGATATTTATTTTATGTATCTCACTTGCAAATAAATCAAGTAAAAACAACTTGTCTTTTGAAACAACCTCTTTACTGTCACAGGGTTGACCAAGTTAGAAGAACATATTTCTAATTGTAACCTATTCAAGATAGGAGATTCAACTAGCTATATAAGTGATAGAATAAGACAACATGGTATATAGCCAGGAACAGTGAGTACATAATCCACTCAATTAACACTCAAGGAGCCAAGGCAATAGGGATACACCAAAGCACAATACAGAAAACACCAAATGCTGCCGTTCTTAAACTTTTATTGCTACAATTGTCTATTTCCATTGATCAACAGTAACAGCATTGGCGGAGCATCGGAGCCAGCGTGGGTCCTTGTGGGTCACATGACCTACCAAGTCCAAAAACGAAAATTGGTTACGTTACTCTTAAGTACATTTCGAATGCTAAAAAAGCTCGCAGCCCAGTGGATAATTCATGCGCGCTTAGAGTTGTCTCCATGTTAGGTTGTGGGTTCAATTCCCATGTTTAGAATTTTACCTCTTTTAGCTTTTCTATTTCTTCCCCTTTTCTTTTACATTTATTTTTAGTCTTTTATACAGTACTTCCCTATGTTTCTAGTTTTTGCGCTTGCTTTTCCATTTTTTTCCCCTATTCTCTTTCAATAATTTTTAATATTTCACACTTACCTGTGTTTTTATTGTCAACCTGATTGTTTAATTTCAACCCCTTTTTCTTTTAATTTCACTTCCCTATGTTTCTATTTTGCCATTATGGTACATAGCCATTTTTTGTTCAATCTTTCCCTTTTTTCAAAAAAAAAAAATCATTGGACCTTTTAACTTTTCCCTTTTCCTATAATTCTAGTTTCTACAGTTATACTCCCTCCATCCCATATTATAATTCCTGCTTTCCTATTTTGGAGAACTAAAATGTTGTTCCTCTTTCTATTTTTGAATAGTATATAAAAACCATTATACCCTCATTTTTTTTAACTTTATTCATTGTTGTTCTAAAATTACCCTTGAATTTAACACTTGCTTTGTACTTTTTTCCACTTTTTCTCTCTAACTTTTGTCAATTATTGTACTTTTCACCTTTTTTATGTACTTCATGCAATTTCCCCTCTCTAACTTTTGTCTATAATTGTGTCTTTCACCTTTTTTTAAGTACTCATCCACTTTCTCCTCCACTTTCTCCTCCCATTTCTTAAATATCGTGAAAAAACACAACAGGAACTATATATTGGGAAGGAGGGAGTAATATTTTTATTTTCAAGATTTTGTTGATAAAAGAATAACAACTTTTATAATACATTTCTAAACAAACAAAATGTTCACAATGCAATGGTTCCCTCGAATTAAATTATAATTGAAACTTCGATTACGGCATTAAATTTTATCATACATAGTTAAAATTGTCATACATTTGAAACTTTTAAACCCATATGTTGATATTCTTAGATACTCCCCTTAATATTTACAACTATGATTGTATGTTCTCATTATTCAAAACTTAAGAAACAAATTTCTCTCTTAAAACATTATTTGGTATAATAGAGGGTGCCCCACCAACTTTGAATTTCTAGATCCGTCACTGGTTAACAGATAGCCCACAATAAACTACTTCACGACAAACAAAGATGCCTATCAGTAAATAATTCTATCAGTGCTCAAAATGTACAGCTATAGTACCCATGTATCCAATTCAAGTCCCCCTAAACTATATACTAAAATAATTTCCTAACATGTAAAGGCCGAATATATTAAGAAATAACATAAATTGCTATTATAAACCAACCATAATACTCAAAATAAAAAAATAAAAAAAACGTTGTTCTGCATTTTACCTTGCCTTCTTGGTAAGCCTTTGAATTGGCAATCTGAACATCAGGTGGGAGAGAATAAAAGCTTGGCAACCACCCCACTACATTCAATTTGCACTGAAGCTCAGCTTCAATCTCTCCGATTTTCGCCTCGTGACCCGGCTTCAACCTGTTACAATCAAATTGAATCATATCATAATTCAAGTATCCTATGATTATATAATCAATCATTCGGAATTGAAATAAAATTGGATGAGGAATACCTAATGTAACGAGGGAAAGAATCGGTGGAAGTGTAAATTGAAGGGTCTAATCCATTATCATTGAGGAATTTGATGAATGCATCTGGAAGTGGTGAATTCGGAGCTGTATTCATCGTTTGAATTGAAGAGAGATGGTAAGAAAACTAGGGTTTCACAACATTTTTAGCGGGAAGATTGAACCAGTAATTTTCCAGAATTACGCAATATCAAGGTTAGGGTTTTATACGGGGAGAAACTCTTTGACCAAATTTATTTATTTATTTTTAAAAAAAATATTGGGTGAGAAAATAAAGCTAGGTTAGCCAGCTAGGCTAGCTAGCCCTTTGATTGCAATACCTAAAGCAACCTTTGGATGATGAGGGGGAGGAAGCAAAATTTTTAAAGGACCAAATTAGGGTGTCATGGTGGTGCCTTGTTTTGTCATGTAATCCACCGCTATATTTGTCTTTCTGTAACAAACCAACAATGGTGAATGGAGAAAGAATCGAGAGTGATTAAATCCACCTCGATGTCACATATGAATGATATGATGTTGTTTATCTCCCATGGGTTTTGCCACGTTACGAATACCTAAGAAATTAGCTTTTTTTTAACCTTCGCTTAGGCCCATCGCTTTCGCTTGGATAATTAAAGTGTTTGGGTGGAAAATATTTGCCCTTACAAGATATAAGATTAGGGCAATAGCAATGGAACAAACTTCTAAAGGGTTTATTCACTTGCCACATCATCATCATATAAAACCCTCACCTAAAAAAACCTATTATTAACAATAGATAAACCTTTCAAAGGTTTATACATGAAACCCGCTGTCTATACAATTCATTAAATTCATCAAATAAAAAATAAAGAAAACTCAACAAGTAGGCCCAGCTAATACACTTGGCAACTTGTAAAACATTTGCAAGCCATTACAAACCGGTTTGTAAAACAAACCTTTTACCATGAACCTTTGTTTGTCAATTAAAGGTTTGTTGATAAACCTCTAAAAAGTTGCTACAAACCCATAAAAAAAAACCCTTCTATTACTAGTGCCTTTACCATTATGATCTCTAAATACAAAACCAAAAGCATTGTTATTTTCACTTATGAGAAGCTTTGGGGGGAGGGGGGGTCGAAGAAGATTGTTTGAGTTGTATTATGTGTTAAATACGGGTCTGGGCCGCACGCACAATCAAGAGAGAGAGTTCACTTCACAAGACTAAAGGATGTTCCATCCCAAAAGCATATGACAATAAGTTGAGTAGCCCCTTAACCTTATAAAGTGTTTAATTCTCTATTTTTTTCTCAATGTGGGACACTTACATGTGTTGTTTGGAGAGTTTAAACTTCAACATTCTGACAATTTTATTTTGCCTTAAACTTTGAAGATCTACAAGGGTTATCTTCGTTGCTTATATCATTATTTTGACTTTTGATCCAATTATTTGCGAAGTTCTTGATTAGAATACATGTTTGTACTACATTGAATGACTCATTTCTAAATATTACTGAATTTCTAATATATGTACCAAATGAACCACCATGCTATAAAATATTTCCTCTCACCTCTAATGGGTTTGTTGCCCTAATACTTCGGATAGAATTGATAAATGATGTCCCCACAAATTGAGATAGGTTAATTCATTAGCAGCTGAATTTACAAAATAACCCTTGATATAAACAAGTTTTTTTATATAGGGTATAAACTTGTATTTTCTTGGAGAAAAAGTTGTGCTTTGTCGGTGAGATTAGACTATATAATTGAATATGTATTTGGACATATAAGAGGTAAGGTGGGAGAGGTAACATTATTAAATCGATGACCAAATCTCTTTTGGCAAATATCATGTGTGTTCTAATAGATATCTCTTGTCAATGACATCAGATCTTTTGGATAGTAACATTATTGGTTTGGGCAAATATCTTTATTTATCCTAGTGTTGCTTGCATCTCTTTTCCCCTTAAAACAATACGATAATGGTTGTACAGAATACCAGTAATCTAGTTTTCCCCAGCTAATTGGTAGACTAGTAAGTAGTTTTTCTTGTTGAAACGTTGACATATATCCACTCTTCTTGATAAGAATAACCCATTTTTAGAAGCAAATCATGATTTTTAAAATTATGTTCACCCCTTTTTCTACCTTAATTTAATTCCTATTTTATAGTGATTATATGATTTTAATTTTCATAATTATAAGCTATTTATAGCTACAATTGTTTAATTAGAATTGCAAAGTCTTCTCAAAACCCAAGGCTTATGACCTTGATTAACCAGTTAGCTACATGCCCACCAAAAAATAAAAATAAAAAAGTAAAAATACTGAAAAACTCACAGATTTGAGTTGAAGAAACAGGTATAATTAATATTATGGGCGCTGTTGCCTCTCTATTTCCAAGGTTAACTTCTGTAACACATATCTGTCATTATTCTCTTAAATCATTGCAATTAATTTTGTAGCTTACAATATGGGAAGTTCATTGTATATTTCATCTGTGGTTTTCTGGGTTTTGTTTTTCTCTCCTGCTTGTAGATCGGATAATCTGCAATTGGTCACCGTTGATGTTCATGCTGCTAATGATCTCATTCGTTCAGGTCATCGCTATCTCGACGTAAGGTAAATACTCTCTCCGTCCCACGAGTTTTATTTTTCTTCAAATTAATTGAATTTTTAAAAATTTTAAAAATAATTTGAACAATCTTAGTGAGAGACAAAACAAATTTAATGGGTTCTGCCGTAGGTAGTTTAATTTTTTTTTTTTTAATTTTTTTTTTTGGTGTTTAAAGAGTCACAAGCAAGGGTGGGGTGAAATTCGATTCTAGAATCTGGTGAAACCGGGAGAGAAGCTCTAACACAGTAATCACTTGAGCTATTTCTCAATCTTAGGTAGCTTTAATAGTTACACATAAACATTAGATAGGATAGGAGTATATTTGTTTCAATACGGAATTGATGAAACTTATGACCAAAATTACGCGTTGATGAATGTTATAATATTTTATTTATAATTAGCTTCTTGTATACTCCTTGTGGTTTTTTTTTTTTTTTTTTTTTTTTGTTCTTCCATTTTAATAAAAATTGTGATCGGATAAAAAAGTTACAAGTAATATACTTCTAAGAACTAAGGGAGAATCTTGTTTGTAATAAAAAAAAAAGAAAAAAAAGTTACTGAAATTTATTAGGACATATATCTCTGAATTTTGTTTTTGGTTGCTTAATTATGTGGGAATATGATGGTGAAACAGGACACATGAAGAATTTAACAGAGGACATGTTGATGTAGAAAATTGTGTGAACATTCCTTACTTCTTCTTTAACCCTGCAGGTTGGCAAATCTCCCTCTTACTTTCTCATCAAATCAGTGAAAATTGAATGTGTGATGCGATTATTTTGAATGTTTTAATTTTCCAGGACGAGTAAAAAACACCAAGTTTTTGGAGCAAGTTTCAGCGGTTTGTAGCAAGGATGATCATATCGTCGTGATACATCAGTTTATCACCATACTAGTTACTACTAAAATTCAGCATAAAAGTTTCAATTGCAAATTTTTAAATTCGCCTGGGTTTTGTCGGATAGCTCTTGTCATTAATGACTATAATAAAACTAGATGGTATTAAGTTGTGTTTAGATGGTACATCATATTTATTAACAACAAAGAAATATATTGATACTAACAACTGTAAAAATTCTTATTGGTACCGGAGGAATCATTAAAAACAAGTTATTATAGGTATAGAATTTCTCTTGACCTCGCCTTCCCTTCACTCTCATTAGCCACATGGCCATAAGTTGATACGTGTGACATTTTAGTGTACAATAGACACGTTGCTTAACTTTTTTTTTTTTTTTCGAAAAAACATGTTGCTAACTTGCGCATTATTTTATTTTGTCATTTTGGAAATAAATATGTTCCGCTATCTATATTTGAAGGGTTGTCAAAGTGGAGTCAGATCCGGCTATGCTACTACTGATCTTCTTAAGGCTGTGAGTTTCTTTTCATCCTATTTTCTAATCTCTCTCCTTTTTTAATCATCAATAGAACATTAGGTTCAATTCTATTTGCATTGCTAATCTTTATGATAATCAGTGAATATACTTGTTAGCATAAACCTGACAATGTCTTATTAATTATCAAGTGAGATCATGAAACTGATGAAGAGAAACGATGCAGGGTTACAAACATGTAAGCAATATGGAAGGGGGATATGCTTCCTGGGTGGAGAATGAGTTGTCTGTGAAGAAATCAGATGCAGAGTTGTAAATTTTCGGTAATTGTGTTTAAATCGCCAAAATCAAGTTAAATTGTACTGATACTAATAGCATATAATTTCCATCTTGCTTGTATTTTAATTATTTTGATTGTTTAGTTGGTTTACATCCTCAATTTCTTCTATAAAATGTGTGTCAAAATGCTGATAGCATATAATTCCATCTTGCTTGTGTTTTAATTATTTTGATTGTTTAGTTCGTTTACACCCTCAATTTCTTCTTTAAAATGTGTGTCAAATGCTATGTTGCAAATAATATGAAACTAATAAAGTATATTCTATTTGCTTTGGAATTTACCATGAATATACACTTGATCACTCCCAACACAAAATAGCACGCAATATGTATGGAATTTACCATGACTATACACTTGATCACTCCCAACACAAAATAGCTCGTAATATGTATGGTAATATGGTACTCCGTTTGTATAAGTATAAATACGTCCTATTCTTTTGAGCAACTGAAGTAAGCTGCATTGATATTTAAACTAATACTCCCTCTGTTTTTTTTAAGTGCCCCCTAGTGACATGAAACGCATGCCGATATAAAATTTTGACCAATAATATCTTTAATTATCATTAGCTATAAAGTATAACGATTGAATATTAATAATCTACTCATTGAGACGATTCCAACAAGTACCCACAAGATTATATATTTTCTTATGTATGATTCACAAACATTGGTCAACGGAGGGAGTACTAATAATGATGATGATGAATTGAGTTAAAAATAAGTTTAAAATAAGAGGGAGTTCAAATCAATAACATAATACTAAAATAGACACCAGGAATGACACGTGTCACTTCCTAGTGCTGTTTTTCCCTCCAAAACTCCCCTCCCCTTTTAGCAAATAATATTTTTTTTTTTGGATATTTGTATAATACAACTATAATAATATTATTCCAAATCTTAAATATTATCATTACATAAAATTTATTTCTTTTTATTTTCTTAATTCTTCCATACACATCTACCAAAAATATTATTCTAACTCTTTTTTATTTCAGAAAAAAGTGAGCCAAGTACAAAATACTACCATTACCGCTTGAATATTTTTTAGACGGTGTCTCATTGAATTTTGCTCAAAAAGTAATAATAAAATTGATTCATATAATAGAAATTAAAGAAATTACTTTAATTTTCCTCAAAAAAAAAAAAATTTACTTTAAAACATCACTTTAATTTTTTTTTTTCAAATACCTCTAATATTTTGTTTCTTAGACTAATGGAGTATTACATATGACTATATAATAAATGTTGTGTTCGACAACTGTATTATATGTTTAATTCTAGGTAAATATGAAATATCAATCAATTTTTTGCTATTACTTAATTAAATAAATTAATATCTTATTTAGTAAATACAAAAAAAATTATTATAAAACATTTAGTTGAGATAATAAATTTATTACATTCAATGTTATAAATAAGATGCATAGTAAAAGACACGTCGGACATAATGACAAGTGACATCTTTTTGTGTATCCTTTTTTCTGATAAATAGCTATCATCTACAAATAAACTTTTAAGACAATAAACAATCAATGATCAAACTAAGATTATTGGATAGCTTCAAACACATTTTAATATAATAACAAAGAACGACGATATCATGTAAATCATCAATTATATTCATAAACAGAAAATATACTATTAATAATATATGTTAGTGTTGCCTAATTGTTGATTATTATTGCCTTTAATGATTCAAGTAGTATTTACTTCCATTGAAATTATTTTATTGGATATAAATTAAAGGTGATATATTATTTATAATTTATATATATGTTATACTAATAGTTTTACCATAGATTTTATTATGTTGTTTGATTAATATTTTTATGCTTATTAAAAGACATTTATAAATAAATCTTTAGTCATATAATCACTAGATTGTATAGTTTTATTGGGAATAATATGCATCATTAATGTAATATAATGTATACTTTTAAATATTTTCAACACAACTAATCAACAATAATTTTTTTTTCCTCAATTGTAGTTTTAATAAATTTTGCCTTATTATTTTATTTTTCTATATGTAATGCATTTGTTTATTCCACATGAGTTGCCTCATTTTTATATTATATCACAATTAATTATGGAAAAAATATTATTACTATCGTGCATTGCACGGGCACTAATTTAATAATATCCCAATAAGTAAAATGTAGGGTATATGGTACCGTAGCACGGAGTACTTAAAAGCTGACAATTTATGATTTGAACCAAATTATAAAATTTAAACAAAACCGGAACAACTCGATTTGACCAATTTATCAAATTTTGTACCGATGTTAACTTTCACTCCATAGTATTTCATTTGAACCGTTTATCAAATTTTGTACGGATGTTAATTTTTACTCCTTAATGTTTCATGCTATTTCTAATATAACCCGAACCTGAACCCAAACCCAAACCCAAAACCAAAACCAAAGCCGGCCCATTGACTAAAATTGCCACCCTGACATAAAAGACCAACACAAAATAGGTGCGCCATGAATGACATCTCAATTTGATGTCATTCCACGTCTTATTTTATTCTCTTGTTCTGAAAAACCAAAAATATTAGTACACCAATTTCTAAAATGTACCAAATATTGAACACAACCCGACCGAAAATACAGAAATAAATGTGTCAAAAGTAGAAATACTTTAATTTCTTTCCTTTTGATGCATCGAAACTAACTTCACACATTCTTCTCCTTAATTAAATCCCACCTTATATACACAATAAATCTAAAGTCATGATCTAAACATTCTGAGATAATTGCAATTTACAACAATGGAGGAAGGACGATCATTAACTGAAACTCCGACATGGGCGGTCGCCACCGTCATCTCTCTCATGGTTGCCACCGTCGTTTGCTTCACCAAATCTATTGAATTCTTTGGCCGGGTAATTTTCAATTTATAAAAAAATAATGTGTATTTATTTATTTATTTCTCTATATCCTTCTCACATTTTTTTTTATTAATTTTTCTTTATGTTTTATTATTTATTATTACTGTTTGTTAGTGGTTAGACAAGAGAAAAAGGAAACCTCTGTTGGCTGCCCTTAACAAAATCAAGGAAGGTATGATCCATGCGACCATGCATTTGTTTCTTATTTTTATTTATTTCTTAGTTAATGTAATATCATGTTTCCTGTATTCGATTTTATTTAGTTGTCACACGCATTAATGTTTCGTACCACATTTATCAACGTGACTATCTATCTATCTATCTAGAATAGGGAGAGGGAAAGAATTGTGACAAACTTACATAAAATTGATATGTATTACGGAGTATAACCTAAGACGTGTTATGTTAAGTGAACCTAAGCTTATATATGCGCCTTTAATATACCCAACCTGGAAAAATTGATGCATTTCATTTAACAATTGGGATGTAATTCTTTTCTTAATAAAATGCTTTGTAACATTACTTTGTGTCATAATTTTCATGACATTTTTAGCCTATGGACCAATATATTGCCTCTAATGAAATCCTTATAAACTCGGTTTATGCATGTAGAGCTTGTAGTATTCGGGGTACTGTCCCTTATTATGGGGCACTTCAGTATTTTTGTGGCCAACATTTGTGTAAAATCATCGGTGTTTAGCACTAGGTTCTACCCATGTATACCGGAAACTACATCAACTCAACCAGTGGTGACCATTAAACACATCACTAATTCGAATCAATCCAAGTATGCTCCTCCTGAACACCATGATCATGCTATAATTCATGCTAGGCAATATTGTGACGAGGTAATTGCTTCACTTACATTAAAGACAGTTCCTATGTCATGTACTCGACTGATTTTTTTTCAGCCATAAAGTTTGAGTTATTTCATTTACGTGCAGGGCTATGAGTCTTTTGCTTCATATGAGAGCCTCGAGCAGCTTCATCGTCTGTTGTTTGTTCTTGGTGTGACTCATGTTACTTACAGCTCTCTGGCCATTGCACTAGCTGTAATTAAGGTTGGATCAAGAATCTCATTTCTTCATATATTGGTAAATTAAGGTGTAATTTAAACAAGCTAAGGCTAACTGTATTCATCTTTTTTGTTTGAAGATCTATAGTTGGAGGGCATGGGAAGGTGAAGCAAAATCCATGGCTTTACAAACCTCACAAGGTCTAAATCTCTTCCTTTTTCTTGAAACAGGATTACATGCTATCATTTGATTTTATACCTTGTTTTTAAAATAATTTGATAACTTGGGTTAAATTCAACTTTTTGAACCAGATGATTCAAAGCTAAAGCGTCTGTGTTCCTTTGTTGTCAACCACGCATATCACCCATGGAGCCAACACAAAGTTTTTGTTTGGCTGGTAAGAAGAATTCTATTTTCTTTTTTTATGGCCTTTCATGCTTTCTAAATCTTCTCTTCCGCCGGTATAATTTGCTTGATGTACATACTGATTTCTTAGGAAACAAAATTAAATTGATGAATATACCAAGTAAAAAGAGGAACATTGTTTAAAATTGTGTGATACATGGTTGACAATTTTGAACGCCTGTCGTGCTGTCATTTATAGCTAGAATTGGCTAGAATTATCTCAGTGTATAGCTTTGTTTCAGCCGCCAATTTTGGAGTTCAATTAGCAAGTCTGATTATATTGCTCTCCGATTTGGCTTTCTTACTGTAAGTTTCTCCAGTTTTTCCAAGAGAGATCATCCTATATCTGTCTAAAATGAGTAATTCTTACTGACACTTAATTGTCTTGACAACAGACTCATCAACTTCCATTATCCTATGATTTTTTCAATTACATGGTCAGAAGTATGGATGAAGAATTCCGGGATATTGTTGGTATCAGGTCAATCTTTTTCATAGCTTGTGATATTTGGAGTTGAAATTTCTGATCACCCTTTCAATAAATCTGCTGTCATGTTTCACTTCATACTACAGAACTTATGTATTCAATATGCAACTTGACTTTGTTTCTCTTACAGCTTGCCTCTTTGGGTCTATGCCATAGTTTGCATTTTCCTTGATTTTCATGGTAATTTTCCAAACATCAGTTCTTTCTTTGGTTCATGCAGCCAACACCATCCTATTGGGATTAACTCTGACATTTGCTTTAAGCTAGTCTTGCTTGTGATCTCCAAATTACTAACCAATGTGATTCTTTCTCAGGAACTAATGTCTACTTTTGGCTTTCCTTTCTTCCGGCTATTGTAAGCTGTTCAATTATTTGGCTCATTCTATGTTTGTCTAAGATAAAACCTTTTTTTTTTTTTGTTCAGTTGAGTTACTTGTTTTATGTTTGTGCTTGTGGAAGATAATTGTTATAATTGGTACAAAGCTGCACCACGTTGTGGTGAAGCTCGCGGTAGAGATAATTGATTCACAATCATATATCGATGCCCAAGAGTTTAAATTGAGAGATGAGCTCTTCTGGTCTGGGAAGCCAAGGCTTTTACTTAGGTTCATACAATTCATATCTTTCCAAGTAAGCAAATCCAAGAAATTTAGCCGTTATTATTAGAGTAGTTTCTAAGAATTTTACCTCAAACATTCTAATGCCTACTGTATTTCTGCAACAGAATGCATTTGAGATGGCAATGTTCCTATGGTCATTGGTAAGAAGTTGATCCAGAAATTCGTACGAAAACACTACACTAGCTAGCTAGTTAGTGAATTCTGACAGTTGTTTCTTTCGCAGTGGGAAATCAATGGAACATCTTGCTTTATGGACAACCCAAGTTATATAGTGATTCGCTTAACATTCGGGTAACTAATGGCCAATATATCAAATCATCAACCAAATTGTCATGATAGGACTATTATAAACTGATAAATCGACCTGATTGAACTAATTTCAAGCTGCTATATACTGATCGATGCAGGATAGTTTCCCAAGTTTGGTGTAGCTTCATTACATTTCCACTCTATGTGATAATCACACAGGTACATAATCTTAGTAAGGCTTTGTTTCTTTTCTGGTGGATAGAATGAAGCCTAATTATGTCTTCATCCATTGCTATTGTTCAGTTTGCACATATGTATTGGTTTTTCTCTTGCTAATTTGGTATCTTCATTTGAATGGGGTGACAGATGGGATCCAGGTTCAAAAGAGCAGTGATCTCTGAGGGTGTGAGAAGATCTCTACATGGTTGGAGGAAAAGAGTGAGGGCAAGGCAACAAAGCAACAATAACTCTAATAGTGCGCGACTAAGCTCTTCATCATCAATGCCCTTGATTCGTGATATGGACAGATACGGTTCCAGCAGCAATAGAAGCAGCACTGATGTTAGTACTAGCAGTGGAAGAAGATCCTGGAGAAATGAAGGGTCTAGAAGGTGGTCATTGATGGATTATGGAGAAGTAGGAGTGATATTTACCTCGCAACAACCAAGCTATGTAGACAGAGGAGGGATCAACTGTGATAGTGATACTGGCAGTGACAGTTCTTATAATGAGGAGGACTATAAGGAGAGAGATGGTGCCCGTTATTCTCGCATTCCATGACGTTCATCACCTTGCATGTATGGACATGGCTGATTATATACATAATGTTAAGACACGAATATTTTAGGTTTTTGAAGAGATCACAAGGGTTATGTTCATTTTGTATTCCTTTTTATTTGAGCTTGTACTGTTCTTCTTAATGCAACCTCTTTTAGTTGGGTGGAGTATTTTACAAATGTTATTGGTCTAAAACATTTATTTGGGTGCCTCATAGATCATTTTTGATGATAAGCCCCTTGGAGACTTTATAAATTGAATTATGCTATATATGAATTCAATTTTATTTTCAAAGGGAATGTATATCCAAGATCACAGTCAGTTCAAAATCAGTTTAGAACTTAAGTGGACTAGAATGAGAATTTGAGACTTCTTGGGGTCGGATTAATTCCATTCTGGTCCAATTTTGATCAAGTTGGAATAGTTTTGTAAAATTATGGTACTCTTTAAGAAAAGAAAAAAAAAAATATATGGTGCTTACTACTATTACAACAATTCACCAACTTGGAAACATCACAATTAGTGGTTCAAAGACTCATCAATCATATAATAAATCAATAAAATCACCTAACATTTAACGTTACATCTCATGTTTCACTCACAAGTTACTTTCTACTCAAAGTCTCCCTTACTGATGGCTATAATCCTCTACTATTAACACTAACTATTCTAATTGTGTACAACTAGTCAACTACTATAAGATTCTAACAAATCAAATTTGCATCGTGAGAACCGTAAAACAGTCTGCAATCAACGCATCATATTCGTTACCGTGACCCACAATCGTCTGTAACCAAAACTACATTGAACCACTTTTTAATAGCCAAGATTATATATTTTATGATACTAATATTCGAATAATCGATTCAATAACAATTGTGCGTTACACGAGAGTAAAATTTTAATTTCCCTTTTTTAAGTTTAGGGGGAGCTATAATATAAATCCTTGCCCCCCTGCACAAGCAAAACACCCAATTTTATGTTCGTTCTTGTTCATCTACGTAGTATAAAACTCCTTCGTCACTGAAATCCTCTTCTTCGATCTCCTGGATTTTCTCCCCTCTTCTCAACCATGGTGCTCGAGGTTTGTCTTCTACTCAATTTCATCTCGAATTCCTTCCTTAAACGAGTTCCAAATTAGGGTTTTCAATCTTACTAACATTCTTTTTTCCCCTCTTTTGATTGGAATTTTCAGGCGACTATGATCTGTATCGATAATTCGGAGTGGATGCGTAATGGTGATTACTCGCCCACCAGATTTCAAGCTCTTTCTGATGCGGTTAATCTCATCTGCGGCGCTAAAACTCAGGTTTTCTTTCTCTCTCTTCACTTCTTTTAAACCCTAATTTACAATTTGGGGTTGAAATTGCTAACAATGGTGTTAATCTAATCAATTGGTAGTTTTTTGTGGATAGTATTTGATGGGTTTTGATGTTATTGATTGATTTCGTGTAGTCTAATCCGGAGAATACTGTCGGAATTCTGACTATGGCTGGAAAAGGTGTTCGTGTTTTGGTCACTCCCACCAGCGATCTTGGAAAGATATTGGCTTGTATGCACGGTTAGTTTTCGATCGATATCTCGTGAATTGATTAATATAAATCTTGATTATGCATGTTATTGAATATGTTGTTGTGAATGCATGATTAGAAAGCATGGCTTTTTGAACTTTTGTAGCATGTATCTTAGCTGACTTGAGGATTATCACATTACGTCTAGTTAGGTTGATTTTAGGGCTAGCAGAAATTGATGGTTAGGATGGCATTTGGTTTTCTGATCAAAGTAGAATATGATAATGCATTAATGCCTGGCGGTTAGGCAAAGTCAGTGGCTATTGAATAGAATCAGTAGAGTTTAGTACAATGTGCCACTTGATCCTAATTTTTGGAAAGAATGCTGCTAAATGTATTGTCCTATAGTTTTTTGACAGTCATTGTCAAATCTTGTTGGACAGCGTGGAGAGGAGGGATTGGTTGAGGTAGAGGAATGGAGAGATGTTGCTAAATGTAAGTCAAATTGATGAAATTTGGTACAAGATGAATGACTATGTATCGATTGGTTGAGGTAGATGAATGGAGAGACGTTGCTTGGAAGTGGTGATGTAGTTGGGTTCTTTTTTTTAATTTTTTTTTTTTATTTTCTGTTCATGATGTTATGTAAACTTCCAAAAAAGCTACATGATTCTTAGACGTGTCTTGTTCCACCGCCTCCATATGGGTAGGAGAATTGAGCTTCCAATCACCTTTTGATAAGTTTGTTTGTTAATACAATAATTGAGCGAATTCAAGGTTATTTTTATTTTTTATTTTTATTGTAATCTTCTATTCTCTATTTGTAGAAGCTTTCTGACTGAATTGCTAATTTGCTACTCTCTGGTCTCAGGACTGGAAGTTGGTGGTGAAATGAACTTGGCTGCTGGAATTCAGGTGGCTCAATTGGCTCTTAAACATCGACAAAACAAAAAACAGCAACAAAGGATCATAGTTTTTGCAGGAAGGTTGGTATTTGTCTTCCAATATTTTGCTTTCTTTTGATGTAGTGGTTTACTTATTATTAATCTTATTATCGGCTGGCAGTCCTGTCAAATATGACAAAAAAGTATTGGAGATGATTGGGAGGAAGTTGAAAAAGAACAGCGTGGCCCTTGATGTTGTTGATTTTGGTGAAGATGAGGAAGGGAAGTCAGAGAAACTTGAGGCCTTAGTTTCTGCAGTAAATAACAACGAAACCAGCCATATTGTCCATGTGCCTCCAGGTGCCAGTGCGCTGTCCGATGTGCTGATAAGGTTAGTGATTAATAATACTCTACGTGACTTAACTGTGTAGGTTATTGATTATTCTCTGATTCATGAATGTGTCTTGTGACAGTACTCCCATATTTACTGGAGATGGGGAAGGAGGAAGTGGTTTTGCTGCTGCTGCCGCCGCTGCTGCAGCTGGTGGTGTTTCTGGATTTGATTTCGGTGTAGATCCTAATTTGGATCCTGAGCTGGCTCTTGCCCTTAGAGTTTCAATGGAAGAAGAGAGGGCAAGGCAAGAAGCAGCTGCAAAAAGGGCAGCAGAAGAAGCAACCAGACAAGAAAAAGGAGGGGAACAAAGCTCCCAAGACACAACTATGGGGGAAAGTAGCAATGCTGCAAATTCAGAAGCTGATAAGAAAAATGACATGACTGAGGTATGTAGATGTGGTGGCATTGCCCAAGGGTTTTTATTTTATTTTATTTTTTAAAAAACTTTTGTTTTGTTTTGTTGTTGATTTCCTTCTGTTTCAAGCTAAATTATTACTAAATTTAAAAGGAAAAATTCATTCTCGGAGGTACTTTTGGTTTCTTAGACATGGTTGCAAATTGGTTGATTGAACCAATGCAAAATACCTGCAAAGTTTGAGACTTAACTTTAATGTTAAACTTCTTTGTCATTTGCTTTTGTATATGGCTAACCCATGACATCTACAGGATGATGAGAATGCCCTGCTGCAGCAGGCACTGGCAATGTCAATGGATGACCCTGCCTCCACTACAGCTGTGCGAGATACTGATATGTCAGATGCAGCTGATGACCAGGACTTGCAACTTGGTTTGTTTCTTATTCTTTCTCTATTAAATTGCACTCAATGAGGGTGATATCATTTTTATCCCAACATGGAAAAGGATTGTCCATGATTACTGAGTAAAATATATATTCATTCAGTGTCTTTGCCTCTTTGGTAACTCTACTGAATTACACTTTAACATAGGCAGTTTCATGAGATTGGAAATAAATTGACACACCCTTAGGCAGGCTAGACTACTAGAGTTTCTTTATCTGGCTTTCCAAATAAACCAGGCATCTCTCTTATACTCATTAGATTGAGTTCTTGTCTTGTAGAAAGTGTTGTACAATTTGTTTTCCCTTAGTTATTGGGTTGGGGGGGGGGTAGGTTGGGGTGGTGAGAGGAGATTGTTTGGTTTAGTCAGTTATGATTATGATGTTACAAGCCACATACAGTTGACTGTTTAGAGGAAAAACTTAGAGCGTTGCCTTCCTGATCATTTTTTTTTTTTTTTTTCATTCCTCTCTGGTCTTTTCTACTTTCTCTCTCCTCTTTGCAAATTTGTTTATCACTTACCAGTATAGAAATGAATGAACAAAAAATTTTGGGGTCACCTTTCTTTCTCCAACTTTTCCTCGCATGCATAACATAATAGAAATGAGTGAAAATATATTGAATGTCAAAATGGGTGCCTATTTGTTAAGCACCATGTCTAACGATGAAACCCATGATTTAGATCATGATTAAAACCATGTTTTGATAAGCATGCCTCCAAATAAATCATGACCGAGGAAAGAGTTTTGATCATGATCACAATATTTTTGCTGCACCATTTATATCATGACTTGAATTTTGAGTCATGAATGTGGTTTGTTCATCAATAGGAGTAACTAATGGAAATTAGAAAAAGGTGCAAAGTTGAGCCAAAGAGTCAATCAAGAAAGGGATTAGAAATGGAATTAGTAATTAGTTCTTTCACATCATGTTTTGATGATGGAAAAAATAATCTTGAACCCTTCCCTTCTCTTGTGCATAACAGATAATACCCTCTTTTGTGATGTTGAATGAGGGGATAGAGGAATTTGTTCAAAATAATGGTTCTGGTGGATATACAGGAGTTTATACATGGAATTTGGTGAATTATTTTGTTATAGACTATATGCCATTGCTTCAAGTTGAAATGCATTATTTCCTTTGGAGAGGCACATAAAATAGTCGAAGGATAGAAATTCTGGGCAGCTTGTATATCAGCGAGTTTGACACGTTTCACAACATCATACCCAATTTGCTCCACACTTCATCAACCTAAGTACAGTATTAACTATTAAGTATTCTTCTGCGGAGGCTGAAGTCTTGGATTTTTCTCATATCTAATTATCTAGGGCTTGAGAATGAAACTCTAAAGGCCTAATTTATCAATTGAGTGTAAATAAAAAATTTTAAGAACTGAAATGCTGGGTATTTGATTGGGAGGATTAGGCTTTTTAGAATGGAATATAGCAATTTTTGGACATGAATGTATTCAGTAATTAACTAATTATCCTGTTATTTAATTTTTGCTTGGGAGACATGAATGTTGTATAGTCTCTCTTAAAGAAACCTGTCTTTGATATATTTGGTGAAAGCTACTCTAAATAACTCAAACTTAAAGCTTTATGAATCAAACTTTTCAATATCAACTATCCAAGCGAACTTTTGATAGCATGTCATTTTTAGGAGACTTGTTAATTTAAATGGGATTTCTATGTTGTAGGGATGCTCATTATTATTTTTATTATAGGATACTAGATCACCTAGTAGAAAGGATTGAAAAATCCAACATGAAAGAGCATGTTAAGCATCAATTTCTAAGAATAGAAACTCTATTTCTTCTTCATCTTCCTCCCCAATCTTACATCCTAAATCCTCTTTTCTTCATAATGCTTACCTAATTTTTCACTTAGGGTTCTTTATCACTTGATTAGTTTCAAGTTTGCAACCAAGAAACAGAAGAACTCTTAGAGAAGACACCAACTCAGCCACCTCTTGTTGTTAGAGGATGGTGAGGAAGAGCACCAATATAATTTTGCATGAAAATATCCTCTTTTTGGTTGTGTTTTGTGTGTGTGTGAAGACTGGGGTGGGGGTTAAGGTTGTGGCCTTTAATGAAATGCTTAATAATATGTTTTATTGTTAACTTCAGTCCTTTAGTATTGCAATATGGAGGAGTGCACAAATTTTTAGGTAAGGGAAAAGGAAGGGAGAGAGTTAAAATTACAAACTTGTCCATGTGATTGTAAGCATTAACTAAGGCATCAAATATAAAAAAGTAAGGGTATATTGGGTATTTACTATGTGAAAAAAACATCTTTTTTTAATTATTTAACCTAAAATGGGTATTCTATAATATATGTGGAACTTCCCAAAGTGGTAAGTGTTGCAATATTAAAGGAACTTAGGAAGTATATTCTTATGCAAAATTTATGATATTTCTATGTAAGCATTTTTTGCAACTAAGGGGAATTCGCCTGTGTTGGTTCGGGCATGTAAGACGGAGACCCCAGGGTGCACCGATACGAAGAGTGTGATCATGGAGAGGTTAGACGAGGTGGAGGGAGACCTAAAATGACTTGGTTGGAAGGAGTTAGGAAAAATATGAAGCATATGGATTTGCATAAGAATGAGGTATGCGATCGTAAGGGATTGAGGAGAAAGATTTTGTGGATGACTATACAGAATAATCACTTTTTTTGGTTCATGTAGCCGACCCCACTCATGGGATTAAGGCTATGGATTGTATGTGATTGTTGTTGTGCAGTTAGAATTAAGGAGTATTATAAATTTTTCACTAGTCGTAGGTTGTCCCAAGTTTTTTTTATTCCAGACAAATGATCCTTTTTTTATAAATTTGTTTGTTAACTTCTGATATACTGCAGGACATTAGTAATTACTAACCAATTATACCATGTTTGTGGGAGTCTATTAATCTGGCCCTTTCCAATATTTATCCAGACAGCAAAGTTTCCACATTTAGAAACTCTAGCAAACTCTGGACCACCATTAGCGGAACTCTGGCCATTACCCTTGTTGCTGCTGCTCACCTATCTCTTTCTTTATTTCCCTCTTGCATATGCTTAGCTAAGATTTGTTTTTATGCAAATGCTTTGGATTTAATTAGGCAGTTGGAGGTTATGGAAGTGGTGGATTTGGGTCACTGAGGTTGTGGTAGTTGTCTATCTGCTTGGTGAGACTGTTATTTGGTTGCTGAGCATGTGGGTGGGATAGTCAATGCCAATGGGGATAGGGTTATAGGCCGTGTCATGGTGGTTTGTATTGAAAAGGGCGCGATGTGATGGTGGGATGATGAGAGATGAGAAGGGTTTTTAGTGATTTGGGGCTGCTGGCTGGTTGAGGTGTCAAAAATTCTAAGTAGGGAATTGAAACCCGGGGAGTTGGTGAATGAAGAGGACTGCTTTTTGAGTGATTTTATACAGGGAAAGTGACAGGAATGAAAAACACTAACGGATTAACCAAAGAAGTGGGATTACCATTCCTTTCCTTTTTTTTTTTCCTAGAAACCCTTACCCTAAGAGGCCCTGAGGAAGTTCTTTCCATAGCAATATCTATAGTTGCCTTTTTCTTGATCATATATTTGCTCAGAAGCATTATCAAGCTGATTTCCCTCTTATATTATATATTTTTGAGCTGTGAGTTAACCCCTTGTGTTATGCATGCAGCTCTTCAGCTCTCGGTAGAGGAAGGTGCCAAAGAGTCAACAAGTCAGTCAAGTCAGACAGATATGACTAAATTGCTGGCAGACCAGTCTTTTGTTTCATCCATTCTCGCTTCGGTACGTAACTCGTTCTCCCTTTTTTTTTTTTTTTTTTTTTTTTATGCAATCACAAGTCTGAAAAATGTTTTATGTTCTCCCCTCCTTTTTATTCAAGCACAAGTCTGAAAAAGGTTCACATTCCCCACCATTTACAAATTTCATGTTTTTTGCTGACAGCTTCCTGGAGTTGACCCAAATGATCCCTCGGTGAAGGATTTGCTGGCTTCCATGCACAATCAGTCTGAGGTGAGCTAATTTACTACAGTAATATTCAATTATCATTGCCACACATTGGATGTGAAACAAAAATGTTGTCTGTTTCAATTGCTGATTGTCGATTTAAATGTCATATTTGTAACTGGTATGTTAACTTGCAGAAGAAGGATGATGAGGATAAGCCCCCAAGTGAAGAGGAGAAGAAATGATGCAATCTCTTTGTCAAGTCTCAGGTCTCTTTGCTGCTCCTGCTTAGTATGACTTAATCAGAGGGGCCTTGGTAATTTGTAAAATGGCTTTGATATATGCTGACTTTGTATTTTTCGCTTGAAAAGGGAAGGTCACATTATGGTCCAAATGTTGCTCATAGCACGAAGAGTTTTAACAACGTTTTAAGTCCCAGGTTAAATCTGTGAAGCACCGAGACAATGTGCATTTCTTCATTGTTAAAATTATTGCTTGAAAAGGGAAGGTCACATTATGGTCCAACGTTGGGTTAGTTATTGCGTTGGTTAGTTTCACATTTTTTTACCCAATTGATGCAATTGTCTCAAAGACTTTTCTTCTAGTTGCAAATGGATATCATTCCATAGAGGTTACGGAGTGTGATTTTTTCATATCCTTATTAGATGATTTTGGGTTCCATCAGAATAGTTGTTTTTTTTTTTTTTTTTTTTTTTTTTTTGGTTAAAATCAGAATATATGTTAGATGCATACAATGTGCAACTTTGTGCTTCTACATGAAGCAGGTAATCAACTTTTACTATAAATGCCTACTTCGTGTCAATGTTTAACAATTCAAAACCAAAAAATTCCAGCAGTTCTAGTTAAAATCATCAATAAATTAGTTACATCAATAAAAGTAGTTGTAGTTAAGTAAAATTGGACGAAGAATTACAAGGGTTACTCAAGTTGTTAGGTTAGGTTGTTTTGGTTCAAGTTGTTCGGTTAGGTTGTTTTGGTTTAATAGATTCTTCCATTCGAGAAGTCATATGCGAGTATTAACTAAAGGGAAACCAACTCTTGAAAGTCGAGATCCGTGTGGTAAGCCAGTTGAAGAGTTGAGGGAATTCCTCCGACAATCCAATTTCTTCTTCAATTTTGAAAGGCAAGGCTAGCACTAAAAATTGAGGAAATACAAGCTCATCGGCTTGATAAACCATGCTTAGGGGTGAGCAAAGAACCAGGGTACCCGGTTCGGTTATAAATTTTAAGTTTTTTTAAGCTCATATATATAAACTTATACAACCCTAAAATGCAAACCCTAACATAAAACGAGCCGCCTCCTTCTTCCTCTATCCTCTCTGCTTTCTCTCTCCTCTTTCCCTTCTCTTCATCTTCTTCCACCCTTTTCTCATCATCATATTCTTTAACCCGGTCGAGCTATTGCCGCAAGCAACGATTGAGGCACCGTCGAGTTATCGCCGCAAGCAATTGATTTATAGTCTGAATATGATATAATGTAAATTGAAGAATGTTGTCTTTTCTCTCACTTTCAAAAACATTTATGGTATGAGCAGAGCTGCATAGAATTTGGTGTGCGAAAGTTCAATGTGAATACTGAAGTAAGGAAGGCATACATGGATTCATTAACCAATTCTGGAAAAGATCTTGTAAATGTATTGATGCTTCGTGAATTTGATGTTAAAGACGGAAAAAATCAAGCTTTTTTTTTTGTGATTGAATTGATTAATCTTTGCTATTAATTCGCTGTATGTAATTTGGTAATGTGTATCTATGTAATGGTTGGACTTTAGATCTAATTTTTCATCTCAATATTCTGGAATTTTTCTATGGTTTCAATTTTTTTTTTTTATTTATTATTATTTTTTATTTAATGGCTAGAAACGCAACATATCAAACCGGTTACCCGGTTTTGGAACCGGTTCCCAGTGGTTTCGGTTCCTGATCTTAAATGTTGGACCCGGTTGTTTCAAGTTCCGGGTCTGGTTCCAAAATCTTAGACCCGGTACTAACCGGTTCCGGGACCGGGTCTTTAGTTTTACACCGGGTACCCGGTAGTGCTCACCCCTAACCATACTCCCTCCGTCCTTTATCTACATGCCTACTTTTCTTTTTGGTTTTTCAAAACTACATGTTTATTTCTATTTAAATAATGTATTTTTTGACAATATTCCCTCTTTTTGATGAGTTGTCATCAATTTTCTTTTTTTTTTTTATTTTTTTTTTACTTTTGACATCATTTTCCAAACACTTTCTCTGTATCTTTTCAATAATTACCAACTACCTTTTCTTTCTCTCTATCTCTCTCTAACCTCACATGCACATTTGTACTTCGCAATCATGGGTTTTAAGAAATCTTTAAGTTCCTTAATTTCCGTGAGAAACAGAAAATAAACATGTAAATAAGGGACGGAGGGAATACTGTTTATCTAAAGATATAATCGCAATTTACACATTTAAGTACGGGCATGTTCGTAATTGAGAGATAAAAGAAGTTAACAGTATTAATTTTGAGAAGAATGACGTTAATGGAGGATGGAGTTCAATGGAGATTTCAGAAGCTCCAATGGAAAAATTGAAGCTCAAGGGCAGCATCAACGGAGGAGGACGACACCCTAACCCTCTGGGATTAACTATACCCTTTGTTTTCCTATTTTCTCTTAGGGTTTTCGTTGCTGTGAAAATATGGTGGTGGACGTGGTGGTTCTAGAGGAAGCTTGAGCATATTCAATGAAGGGCTTTAACATCAATGGAGGAAAAAAGCTTCATGGTAAAAAAAATATTTCTTAACGTTTACAAATATCTCATTCTCGTTTATTGAGTAATTTATATTAAATAAATAAAATGTACAAATCCCTACCTTTTCAAAAGTAAGAGTAAACTCTTATAAATAGTGGTGAGACGATTATGCCCCTAAAATTGTTTATTTACATATTTACCCCTTTTAAAAGTATGACCACACTTTTATGAATAGTGTTGAGATGATTATGTCCCTAATTAAAATGTTTATTTACATATTTGCACTCATTAATGTTAATTGTTTGTTTTTTTATATTTTATATATATTTTTTTTAAAACTTTTAAGAATAGTGTGTGGATATTTATAAGATATTTATTTACATATTTTCGTTAATTAACGCTCCTAACATGCTTCAAAAAAAAAAAAAAAAGAATGTTTAACGCTACTAACAATTAAAGGCGCCACCTGATAAACAGAAAGACTTATAAACTGAGGGAATTACACGCCCGGTGGCCCTCGAACCCACAATCGTCTGATTAGAAGTCTTAGGCCACAAGCGCCTAATTATAAAAAAAATTATAATTCACACTTTGTATATTAGTTTTATTTTTTAAATAAATAATACTTGTATAATACTATAATTTTTTTTTCTAAGAATAATTGTAACACCCCAACCCCAAACAAATTAGGGAGGGGCCTATTGTCACGAAGTGTGCATCAAGGGCCAACAACTATCCTCACAGACCAACACAAGTCCTTCCGGCGCATTGTAGTACGCTTAACAGTGGAGTATTTTAGCATATGAGCTCCTTAAAAGGAAGATGCACCTTGAGTAGTATATTAAATCCCTTTAAAGCAATTATAAAGGGTATTATAATTAATTAGTATTAACAAAGGAACATTTTATATCTTAAAAAAAATACCCCTTGCATCTAAAAAATTAACGGATGTAGTAAATAAAACAAGAAACCTTAAAAACCAAAACCATAAACCCCCAAAAAAAATTTACGGTAGACAAATTCAGCATAAATACAAAATGAATTCCAGCATTCACAATCATACAAAACACGTAGTAATTGCGGTATGTATTCCCTTTGTTTCTTAAAGTTTTTTTTTTACAAATAGCCAAATACTGATCAAAACTAGAATTTTTAGAGATCGAAAAGTACTACCCAGTAGATTATTTATTTTAGATGGTTCCTCTCAAAATGAAAATGTTTGTTTGTTTTTGTTTATTTTTTTCCCTACTTTTAATCACATGGGAATGTTCAATTGATTCTTTACTGTTAGCTGCATTATTCATGATATCTTAATCACATGAGAGTAAATTCTAACGCATTTTTTTTTATTTAGGGCTTGTTTGACATCAATTTTTGTTTTTAATTTTCAGTTTTTTTGAAAATAAAAAACTCACAACAGGAAATAAAAAAATGGTGTTTTTATTTTTTGTTGTCAGTTTTCAATATTATCGTGATCTTAAATTTGATTAATTTTTAATTCATTATATACTTCTTAATAGATGACACGTTTCTTTTATCACGTTTGCCAACGCACAATTTTCACGAGTTATATCTCCCATTATCAACATTGTAAAATTATAAAAAGTGGATATTAATAAAATATACATTAAGACGATTCAAACAAGATCCCACATGATTATGTTTTATCGTAACTACAAATCACAAAAGCAAGTCAGAGTGTTGTTTGTGAATAGTGCAAAAGTCAAACTGTGTCATCTAAAAAGGAACAGAGAAAGTATATCATATGATTTTAAAAAACAAAAAACCAAAAAACAGAAAACCAGAACAATGCCAAACGAAACTTAAACCCTATTTATTTATTACGGAAGATAATGAACTTTACTCCGTATTTTTTTTTTTTTTTTGAGGGCAAAACAATTCAAATTGTATATTTTAATTTTATAGTCAATTTTGAAACAAAAGTGGGCACATTTTGATGCAAATAAATACAAACAAATATTAATCAGAAATTCAGAATAGTACTCCGTATATAATTGAATGTCCCTGTCTCTTTGTTTCTGATGATACTTTGATATTCAATGTTATTTAAAATGTTTTTTTTAGTGTTATCCGTAAACTGACATGAAGTAATAATTGAGTCAGAGTACATAATAATGAAAAAAAAAAAAACCTTGGCAATGGGGTTGATTTAATATTTTGTTGTTCACGTGTATACGATTGATCAATTTAACGTAGGATTTGAATGATATTTTTGGTCCTTATAATGTGGTAATTGTTTCCTTCAATGTACTTGCGTATTCATATGACATAGATTTGATTTGGAATGTTAAAGTGGATTATGAACTGTGAACGTGTTAATGAAACGTACTCTTTATGTCCCTTTTTATTTGCCCCACTTTTCTTTTTGGTTCGCCACTTGAATTCATCCTATATTGTATATAACTATGAAGTGTCACTACTTTACTCTAGAGTCACTACATTTGGTCCCACTAATGTCACGGAAGAAATAAAAGCAATGTTGTCTAGTGTTAATTGAATGGTTGAAATAAGTAGTTTCTTTGAGGGGCCTATCTCTTTTAATGGTGGGCGGGACGAAAAATGTGTATAAATTAGACAAATGGGTGGTGGCCAGGTGGTCCTAGTTCTAATAGTGTACTGTGAGTTAATGACTAATGTCAAATGTCCCAATTCATTTAGATAATCTGATAAAAGATTGCTAAAATTTTGATCAATCTTTTGGTGTACTGGATATGGGGAAACCTGTTATGAGTATTTCTCTTGTTCTTTTTGTATTAGCTGTTTTCGGTTCATTCGAGTTAATCTGTTGCATCAAGTACAAAACCGGCGCTGGTGTTGTTGATGGTAAATTGAATGTTCATTTGGTTGCACATTCACATGATGATGTTGGGTGGTT